GTAACTCTATTATCAAAAGTTATAATTCTTAATATTATCTCAGTAAATTTAACAACTTTTAATTTGATGTGGCTATTTATCTGCTTCATTGGATACTCTCACATTTGATAAAATCTAGCAAATTTGACATCAGCGTTTTCACTTGTAAATATACATGTTTTATTATTATTGAACGAGACTTAGTAATCAAAATATATACATAGGGCTGCTATACCCATGCGAACTTTAATAAGCAATTTCAACGTAACAATTATTTTTGTTGCCTGAATTACTTTATTATTGTTACTCATGCTCAAAAATTTTGCTGTATATACAACCATCATGTTGCCTGGACCTCAAAAAACTCATACAACAATGACCGCAGTAATAATAAACCTTTTAGCCGTATCTGTATATATAATCTGGGATCCTATATGCATATTGTATTGGATTCAATCCAACCACTGGAATGTTTAAAGAACCTTTGATACATGTATTTGACAAATTTGAAGTTGTGGTTAAAGGTGGACTGTAATTGAAGAACGAAAAAATGTGATTCTTCTATCGTAGATTTACAAATGTCTAGTGAGATTTAGCCGTGACATTTTTTTAAATGTTAAAATATACAAACTTTTAAATGAATCTTTGTGATTATGTAAACATTATTCTTTCTGACATAAATTAGTTAGTAGTTGATGGTTGTAACAGACATTTTGTTTATGAATTAATGTTGCCATGTCGAAATTAAATAAATAAATAAATAGTAAATAAATAAATAAATAAACAAATAAACAAATAAACAAATAATACAGATTCTAAAAATAAAAAAATAATACATGATTTAAACAAAAAAATAAGTTACTCTAAATTATTATTAAACTTTGTAAACAATCAAATATTGAGGGATGGATGATTCCTCTCTATATACAACAATTTCATCGTAATTTAAGTTGCCAGTATCACTTGGTTCACCTAATATTGAATCAAACCCTGCTGGTGGTTCAGTTAAATTCATACTATTTTTAGTTAATTGATATCCTTGTCCAACAACAACTTTATTCAATATCATTACTTTGTATTTTGAGCCTTGAGAATATTTTAATGAGCCTTCATTATAATCATCAGATTTGGATGATGTTCCAGAGAAATATATACCTCTGCCAAATCTTTGATATGTGGTGTTCGCATATCTCAGCTTGTAACCTTCTCTTATAATGCAACAAACGGAACATGTTGGGCCGTTACACACATCACCACTTGTTAAACCTATATAACACGACCTAAAAAAATACTGCCAAGGTTAATAATAATTTAAATAATAATAATAATAGTAATAATAACAACAACAACAATGATAGTCGGTACGAACGTTTTTGTTCCATGAAATCTTCTTTGTTCATTTCCTGCACTCATTTTACGTTTTCCCTCACCTTTTCCGAAAAATTTACCAGCAAATTTACGTTGATTTTCAACTTCATTACGATACATATTATACCGAGTATTTAAATTTTCTGAACAAAAGATCTTCCATATATCAGCAACTTCCGGTGGAGTTTTTCCAGGGTGTTTCCAAGCAGCTATAAATTGATTAGTTATATCTTTGTATTTTTGACCATCTGATGATAATCTCAACAAACATGGTACTAAAAAATCCCAATTTAAATATATTAATAATGTTCTTGTCGTTGTAAATGGACAAATGTAAAGCCGTGACTCAATTTACTAGAAAAATTTAAAATAAATATTTACCCATTGTTTTAATAATTACTTCACAACCATCAGAACAAAAGTCACTTCCTACTAATGCATTTTCCCCTTTACAATTTATACATATTTGGTCACTTCTTGGATTAATTAAACTTTGCTGGTTTGGTGTTTGATCTATGTAGTTTGTTGGGCTCCAAAGTGAAGAAGGGTTTGTTTCTGTTTCCTTTATATAATATAAAAATACATATTATATAATCTACCTTATATATATAAAAATAGTTATTTATTTATTTAATAATAACATTCAAAGTACCTTGTAATAGGGGTTTCGACAACTTTTCCAACCGCAAAATTGTGAATTGGAAACTTGTGGGCTTTCATTACATTGAGTACAAATAGCACTTTCAGAAACTGCAGCTTTTCGACACTCGTCACTACAATATTCACCAGGAAATCCATCAAGATCAGTATCGACTTTCTTGGATTTACAATTGTGACAAAATGCATCTTCTGGAGGCGGTTGTGAACTTTCTTCAAGTATAACATCAATACCATAATCTTCAAACTCCTGAGGAACTTTTGTAACATATTGAGACAGCACCCTCTTTAAACCATCAGCATTTTCGGCATTTATTGGAGGATTTGGTTCGTAACCAGGTATTGGTATTTGTAAATCTAGTGGTTCAACTTCTAAAGATATGTCATCGATTGGTGGATTGAATATGTGAGGGTTGTATGTTTGTTGTATTGGCGGGAATGGCTGTGAGTATGGTGTTTGTTGTATTGACGAGAATGGTTGTGAGTATGGTGTTTGTTGTATTGGCGAAAATGGTTGTGAATATGGTGGCTGTTGTATTGTCGAGAATGGTGGTTGATATTGTGGTTGTTGTATTGTCGAGAATGGTGGATATTGTGAATTTATGTATGGTTGTTGACCTTGATTTGTCTGAAGTGGTAGTAATGTATTTGGAACATATTGTGATGTTGGTGACTGTAAAATATTAACAGGTTGAGGTGTTTCTGGAAGTGGTTTCTAACGAGAATATTAATTAATTGACGAAAACGAAATAAAAAAAATTTTAAACTCCAAAAAAATAAAGAAAATATTTCCCCCGCCATCAACAATTTGGAATTAATTCATTATCACTGTAGCAGAATTTAAAAAATGTGCAACATTACTATTATTATTAAACGATCGGAAACATATAAACAAGGGGGACAGATTACCATATCGACACTAACGTGACTGGAATTCGAATGCATCACGCAAAACCAGATCACGAATATTATTTTGACACTTCGTGCCTCGTTCGAGTGCAACGTACAAAATCAATTCATAGAATCTTATTTTGGCACTACGTGCTTCATCCTCGAATTCGAATGAATCATGAAAACGAAATCGATGTACGTTTTTCCTGGTCAGAAGAAATGCTACTCATGATTGGTCGTGAACAATTGTTCACGGTAATCACGTCTTTACATCTTGGAGTCTTAATTCGGGCTATGTATAAAAAACATATCAGATTCGAAAATGTGTTGGTAAACGCAAAATACAACGCCGTCGTCATTTTGGTAGACGAGAGTCCGCATGTACCATGGCGTGAAATGCGACACCACAGCACGTAGTGCCTCGGCTTCGGGCAAGGAAAGCGTTTAATAAGTAATCGACTATAGCGAAGAGAAACAAATAATAAGCAAGTTGAGCGCCACACACATCGCATAATTAATAAACCCTTTAATATCGTTGATAAACTCACTGACACTTTAATACATGATGTGGAAGTGAACTGTCGGTAAAATGAACTGTCGGTAAAATGATTGCCGGTAAAATGAACTGTCGGTAAAATGATTGTTGGTAAAATGATTGTCGGTAAAGTAATTGTCGGTAAAATGAATTGTCGGTAAAGCGATTGTCGGTAAAATAAATATGTCGGTAAAATAATACGTCGGTAAAGTGATTGTCGATAAAGTGAATGCCTCCCAAATTAGAATCGTGTAGTTTGTGTCCATTCATAATGAGGCCATGCCAGATTTTATCAAGCAAATTTACATAATTAATAGGAAACCTTGTATAAAAAAAATTACAATATTAAAAATTTCATTAATTGATCTAGGTGATATTTTCATGAGATAATGATCAATAACTTATCTAAAGTAATTATTGTGAAATTTTCTTTTTTTCTCCTGTTTTGTTAAATTTATGTTAAATAATATTCAATTTTTACCTTTTTGGACGAAATGGCAATCTGGATTGAACTGTGATGGTATCATCAGTAAAATTTAAAGATGGACTGCACATATGTTTGTCAATGATTTCCAATCCTCATCCTCGTCCCACCTATATTGTTGTCATCATTATTATCATCCTTGGTTTAGTTCACGTACATTGAAACTCTGTATAATTTGACCAATCTCACGTGGAAAAAGTTGTATGACTTTAATGATTAATAAATATAGATCAGCTTTCTACTTGTGCACTTGCATTTTTTGCCTTCAACAACACTGATAGACAGTGGTTTAATTGTTAAAGTTTTTTTTGATTTATTATCATGATGTTGACATTCAGCAAGAGAATTTGTAATCAAGATAAGATCAATGAAATTAATAATGAATGACCATAGAGTTTTATGTTTCACAACCTTTTTTTTTTTAAATAAAATGTCTGAGACCTTGTCCAAAGTAAATCAAATTGTCAACGATATTAAAAAAGTAGCGACAATAAGTAATGAAGAAAAAACACGTGAAAAATTGAATAAAATAATTGAAGATGGATTTGACAATTTACACATTATATCTGGTAAGAAGAGAGTATAACGGTTTTATATAATTTTTTAAAAGGTGTTTGATAAATAACAAACGTAATTACCTTTAGACTTTGATGCAACAATGACTTCGTACTGGTTTGATGATAAAAAGCGGAATCCTAGTTCACATTCAATATTAGGAACAAGCAAACGTTTATCTGATCAAGTTTGTGATTTTCAATATAATTAATTAATTAATAATGTCATTCATACTAAAAGTTGAACAATAATGAGTGCCATGTAATTTTATGATAAGGAAGTTCAGGGCCCGTATCAAAGAAATAGATGAAAAATATTATAGTATTGAGATTGATCCATACAAGAGTAAACAAGAGAAATTACCATATATGCTTGAATGGTGGGGAAAAGCTCACGACCTTTTAATTGGAGAAAAAATTAGTAAAGATGATGTAACTAGAATAGCAACCGAAACACCTGTGAAAATGCGGCCTGGTTTAGATTCGTTAGTTAAAACTTGCAGTGAAAAAAAAGTACCTTTACTAGTGTTTTCAGCTGGAATTGGCAGTAAATAAATATATTTATGTTTTTTTTTAATAAGTTCTCCATTATATTTTTTTTTTCAATTAAAATTTTATCATTATATAAAGATGTTATTGAACAGGTCTTAAGAAGCAAAAATCTTTATGATCAAGATAATATGCATATTGTATCCAATCAAATGGGATTTAATCCAACCACTGGAATATGCGATCGTTTTGAAGAACCTTTGGTACACATATTCAATAAATCTGAGGTTGTGGTTAAAGAAAGTCCTTATCACGCTGCAATTGAAGATCGAAGAAATGTAATCCTTCTTGGTGATTCTATGGGAGATTTACAAATGTCTAGTGGGATTAGCCATGACGTTTCTTTAACAATAGCATTTTTAAATGTTAGAATAGATGAACATTTAGATGAATATCTAAAATCTTTTGATATAGTTATGGTTAATGATGGCCCAATGGATTGTGTAAACATTATTCTTTCCAACATAAATTAGTAATTTGTTAATTGTAGATTTCATTTTATTTACTAATTAATGTTGTAACTTTCCTATTTTTTTTTATTTTCATAATTAAACAATTAAATAAATAACAAAATAATAATAATAAAACAAATAAATAAATAATAAATAATAAATATGTAAAAAGTTTTCATTCTAAAATATAAATTACACTAATGGTTATTATTTTTTAACTTTGTAAACGATTAAATATTGAGGAATAGATGCTTCTTCTCTATATACAACAACTTCATCATAATTTAGGTTACCAGTTTTACTTGGTTCACCTAATATTGAATTAAAACCTGGTGGGGGTTCAGTTAGTTTCATATTATCTTTAGTTAATTGATATCCTTGACCAACAACAACTTTATTCAATATCATCACTTTGTAATTTGAGCCTTGATAAGTTTTTAATGAATGTCTATTATAATCATCAGATTTGGATGATGTTCCAGAGAAATATATACCTTTGCCAAATCTTTGAAATGCTGCACTTATTGTACCAGTTCCCACATATCTCAACTTGTAACCTTCTTTTATAATACAACAAACAGAACATTTTGAATCTTCACATACGCTACCATCATCTGTTAAACCTATATAGCATACTCTAAAAAAATATTATCAAGGTTAATAATAAATTTAAAGTAATAATAATAAAAAGTAATAATAAAAACCCAATTGGTACAAACGTTTTTGTTCCATGAAATCTTCTTTGTTCATTTCCTGCACTCATTTTACGTTTTCCGCCACCTTTTGGAAAATCCTTACCAGCCAATTTGTGATGATTTTCAACTTCATCACGATATACATTATACCGATTATTTAAATTTTCTGAACAAAAGATTTTCCATATAGCAGTAATTTCCGGTACCTCTTTATGAGGATGTTTCCAAGCAGCTGTAAATTGATTAGTTATATCTTTGTATTTTTGACCATCTGATGATAATCTCAACAAACATGGTACTAAAAAATCCCAATTTAAATATATTAATAATGTTCTTGTCGTTGTAAATGGACAAATGTAAAGCCGTGACTCAATTTACTAGAAAAATTTAAAATAAATATTTACCCATTGTTTTAATAATTACTTCACAACCATCAGAACAAAAGTCACTTCCTACTAATGCATTTTCCCCTTTACAATTTATACATATTTGGTCACTTCTTGGATTAATTAAACTTTGCTGGTTTGGTGTTTGATCTATGTAGTTTGTTGGGCTCCAAAGTGAAGAAGGGTTTGTTTCTGTTTCCTTTATATAATATAAAAATACATATTATATAATCTACCTTATATATATAAAAATAGTTATTTATTTATTTAATAATAACATTCAAAGTACCTTGTAATAGGGGTTTCGACAACTTTTCCAACCGCAAAATTGTGAATTGGAAACTTGTGGGCTTTCATTACATTGAGTACAAATAGCACTTTCAGAAACTGCAGCTTTTCGACACTCGTCACTACAATATTCACCAGGAAATCCATCAAGATCAGTATCGACTTTCTTGGATTTACAATTGTGACAAAATGCATCTTCTGGAGGCGGTTGTGAACTTTCTTCAAGTATAACATCAATACCATAATCTTCAAACTCCTGAGGAACTTTTGTAACATATTGAGACAGCACCCTCTTTAAACCATCAGCATTTTCGGCATTTATTGGAGGATTTGGTTCGTAACCAGGTATTGGTATTTGTAAATCTAGTGGTTCAACTTCTAAAGATATGTCATCGATTGGTGGATTGAATATGTGAGGGTTGTATGTTTGTTGTATTGGCGGGAATGGCTGTGAGTATGGTGTTTGTTGTATTGACGAGAATGGTTGTGAGTATGGTGTTTGTTGTATTGGCGAAAATGGTTGTGAATATGGTGGCTGTTGTATTGTCGAGAATGGTGGTTGATATTGTGGTTGTTGTATTGTCGAGAATGGTGGATATTGTGAATTTATGTATGGTTGTTGACCTTGATTTGTCTGAAGTGGTAGTAATGTATTTGGAACATATTGTGATGTTGGTGACTGTAAAATATTAACAGGTTGAGGTGTTTCTGGAAGTGGTTTCTAACGAGAATATTAATTAATTGACGAAAACGAAATAAAAAAAATTTTAAACTCCAAAAAAATAAAACACACATTATTATTAATATTACTATTATCACTATTATTATCACTACAGCAGTTTCCCATTATGAATTAGATCACTAATAGATTTCTACACATGGTTGGTGATACACGAATTAAGCCTTCTTCCCCTATAATAAATATGCAGAACTAACTTTAATTAAAATTAAATAAAATTTAATTGACGATTTTATCTATGAATGAGTGAACCCTAAATAGGGATCAGCAGAGGAAAAAATTACAAAATTAACTTACTAATTGATAACTCTGTATCAGTGTCTGAAATTGAGTGCGGGGTTTGTGTTACATATTGAATTTAGCCAATCAACGTTAAATTTTCTACCAGAAGGACAAATTTGATTGGCTAGATTCAATATATAACATAAACCCCTGCACTCAATTTCAGACACTGCTCTGTATCAGCGTAACTATTTAGTCATATGTTAGGTCAAGTTTAGTCAAGTTTAATCAAAATGATTATTACTAAATTAGGTTTTTAACCCCTTTACGCTGCCAGCCCTGCTTTGTATGCTATACTTTAGTAATATTTTTTTTATTTTACGTTATGTAACAAATGTTAAAGAACATTATGTATATATATATATATATTTTAAAGAATGAATATCGAAAAAGGGTCTACTCTTGTAGATGTAGAGATGCGCGAGATTTTTCATATATAGATGATTGACTGTCAATTAATTATTTTAACAATCAATTATTGATTGGTCGAAACTGTAAAGTATCAGCCCCTGTAACGTTTTATTTACTTTAGTCACTAAAATCCCTGAACCCATGTTCAGATCAAAAAAAATTTTTTTTTTATTACATGTATAATAATTTAAAAAAATGATTTCTTCTTTACTTTGGGTTCGCAAAGGTGCAGCAGCAGAAAAACCTGAAAAATATGAACTTGATGATAAAGAATTTGAAAGAATAAGTAAATTTCCTGAATTTAAACCAGAACTCATGAAAAAAATTGATAATGAATCAAAAGCAATGTAAATTCATTTCTATTTATGCATTTTAATTGTGTATAACGAATAAAAATCCAATATTTTATTTATTGATGATTAGAATTAAAGAAGAAGATGAAGAAATGAAGGATATTAAAATGATGGAGGAAGAAGGTAATGATGATGATGAACTGGCAGAATATAATTTAGATAAATATGATGATGATGATGATGATGATGATGATGATGATGATGAGGATAATGAAAATGGATCTTCTTCTAAAGGTATATTTATATATATGTTAGAAATATTTTAATATTTCAATACTAATACTGATATTGATGAATGGTAGGATTGTCAATATTTGGAAATGTAAAGGGATTGGCATATTATACTTCAAATAAAGAAGATCCTTATATAACTCTTAATGATGATGATGAGGTTAAATTTACATTTACTTTCTTTCCTTCTTTCATTCTTTCCTTCTATTCAATTATTATTATTGCAAATATAAAGAAATAATAATTGATTGATGAATTCTTTTTAAGGATGAAGATTCTGGTGATATAAGGATATTACCAACAGACAATTTATTAGTAGTAGCAAAAACTGAAGATGAATTATCCCATTTGGAAATTTGTGTATATGAAGAACTGGAAGACAATTTTTATGTACATCATGACATTATGATGCCATCATTTCCATTGTGTTTGGAGTGGTTGGATTTTAGATTGGGTAGTAAAGATGGATCTGGATCAACTGTTGATGCTCCTGGTAATTATATTGCTGTTGGAACATTTGAACCAGAGATAGAAATTTGGGATTTGGATACTATAGATTCAGTGTATCCTAATGCAATACTTGGTCTAAACGAAAATAAAAATAAAAATAAAAATGTTGATGGTGATAAAAAAAAGAAGAAAAAGAAGAATAAAAAGGATTCATCATCATCATCATCAAAGGAACCAAATTCTGAATATCATACTGATGCTGTTATTTCATTATCATGGAATAAAAATCATCGGTAATTTCAACTTTCTTGGATATCTTTTTTGGTTAAATTAAATAATTTTTTGTTAAACTTTTTTTTAAAAAAAATTCAAAGAAATATTCTTGCAAGCTCTTCAGCAGACACAACTATGAAATTATGGGATCTTCAATCATTGAAATGTGTACATTCATTCAATCATCATAAAGACAAAGTATAGTAATAATAATTTACACATTTTTAAAAATAATTTTTTCAAGGTTAATTTAAATTTTTTTCAAACTAAATTTTTAAAAAAGGTACAACAAGTGGAATGGCATCCAATTGAATCAACTATTTTACTTTCAGCATCATTTGATAAAACAGTCTCGGCATTTGATAGTAGATCACCAGATGTTATATCTTATTGGTCATTACATGACACAGAACCAGAATGTATAAAATGGGATCCATTATCGCCTAATAATTTTTATGTTAGTACAGAATCAGGATCTGTTTTAAATTATGATATAAGAAATCATAGTAATAGTATTGGTGATGCACAACAACAACCAGTATTTACATTACATGCTCATGATGGATCTTGTACAAGTATAGATTTAAATTACCAAATTAAAGGTTTATTAGTTACTGGATCAATTGATAAACAGGTTAAAATTTGGGATTGTAGTGACAACAAGCCTGTTTTGATTACTAGTAAAAATTTTGGTGTGGTAAGTAATTATTTTTATTTTTTTTTTGAAATTGAATATTTTTTTTCTATATAAAACAAAAATATATATAATCTTTTAAACTATTATCAACGTTATTATTTTAGGGAAAAATATTTTCAACTAAATTTTGTCCAGATTCAGCATATCAGTTGGCAATGGGTGGATCTGAAGGTAAAGTTTTCATATGGAACTTATTAACAAATTCAAGTGTAAGAAATTTCTTAAATTATGATAATATGATGAAAGAAAAAGATGATGATGACGAAAAAAATATTATTGATGCAAGTATTTTTTTGAATAAATAAATTTTTTTTTAAAGAAAATTTTATATAATAAATAACTTTGTCTAATTTTCTCTATTAAAAAATTTTTTTTTCAGAAAAATCCTATAACATTACCTAATGACGATGATAATGATGACGACGACGATGATGAGAATAATGACGCTAATTGGGAAGATATTGATAGTGATAGTGGTGATGATGTTTAAAAAAAAAACCAAAATAAATGGTTTTGAATTTTATTTATTAACTGATTATATATTATTTAATAAACAATAATGCAATTACAAATTGAAGAAAAAATTGTTTTTTTACTTTTTATTGCTACAACCCCATAAGCAGGTATTGGATACAGTTACATATACTGTATCTAAATTTACAAAAGATAAACTTCGTTGAATCAATATTTAACAAAAGAATTATTTTCAATGATATCGTCCCAAGAGATTTCGTGCTTTTGTTGCCGATGAACTGTAAAACAAGGTTTTAAGTGAATAAATAGTATCAAAAGCATGTAGATGGACAATATTAACATATGTACCCTCGTCTATGTATCTATCTCTTCCACATATTTTGATGCCTGACGTCATTTCTTCATTGCCAATACATCTTTTATAAGAAGATCTTTTTCGGGAATAACATCATTTACTTTGCGCCTTCTCACGACTATATTGGTCTTGTCTGTCAGTACATTCTCATCAACCACAGGTTCTGAAAAATAAGGTGATTATTAAATGCGTATCAACATGAAATTGTATTGTGAAAAATGCAACAATGGAAATTATTATCAAAAGTATTAGTAAAAAAAAGCATTGTCGGTTTTGTAACGAACGCTTAATTCATAAAGAAAAGAAATAATTAAATGAAAAAAGATAATCATTCTGTTTCTAAATGTTATTATACCATCAGTAATCTGTTGATGAGCTTTCATTATCGATTCCGTGTGATTCCGAATTTGGGTAACGTGTAGCATAAACGCAATACGTTCTATTCCAGCGAACTCAATAGTCTTCTCAATTTCAATTAGCTCCAATTTCTGCTCGGTATGGTAACGAGTCTCAAGCTGTTGGAAACAATCTGTTGTCGTTTCCATCTTTACAATGGTAGAACAAGAAATGACGTAAATTTTGCTTGGATAATACCAATTGCCCATAACTTTAAAATGACGAACCAATAGTCCCCATCTATGTGTCATGGAGGCCGAAGAGAAGGACAAATTAGTAGTCGATCTCCAAGATAATTAATAGTCTCCCGAGTCCATCATCTTGTAATACCTCACCAGAATTATAGCATCTGAAGAACAACTTTATGATATATATAATCCTATCCCAGTAATATGTCACATACTCAAAATTCTGATGTAAATGAAATGCTTTCTCATATACGTCTTCTTGAATATAATTGTTATTGATGATCTTCTCAAGTGCTTTTTTAATTTTATCACCCTTGAACTGCTCATATGAGCTACAATAATTAGCAAAAGCGCCAAGGTTCCATAATGTTGGTGAAGCAATCTGTAAATAGCCATAATTGTTTTTATCCTCTGTAGAGGTCTGTGAGACACAGCAGGGTTAGGTGATCGATGTGGCCGTAAGCATCGAATAATTTTTGTCGCTCCAAAAGGCACTCAACTATTCCATGCCTGCCTCTAAAAAAGATCCTGCTAAATATATTAGTGGATTAACTCCTGAAATTCGCGAGAGAGGTGTGGTCAAAGAATACGTTGTAGGTGAGTATTATCTTATGCACTTGAAAAAGAGAATTACGGAATATCAAGGTCTTGATGTAAACGAAAGACTCGAATCCCACACATTGAGAAATTTTGGATCCTCTAACGTTTATGGAAATGCGATTATAACCAAAGAGGATGAGAATATGGATGAGATCAAGGCTGAATGCTGAAAAAAAAGTGCCGAAAGTGCGAGTATTGCCCAAAAACCTGGAATATAAAAGTCACGTGAGATTCATTATCATATGATTTTACAATAGTTTTTATTTTAATAATATTAATTATTTTTGAACATATTTTTTAGCCTCTCTAAAACTCTGACTTGTTGTTTTTTTTTAATTCTTGTAAACTATCTAATAAGCGATCCTCCACTATAAACTTTGGTAATTGTTCTTGTTGTATATAAGTAAGGAGGTTTATGCAACTTTTCAATGCATCGTTAGTATTAATATGAATAATATTTTCCTCCTTCTCCTCCTTCTCCTCCTCCTCTTTTAGTTATGCTTTATAGCTTCATCAAACCAAATTGCTAGAGTTCTTCTAATTGTGGCCAATTTGCTTGCCGATTCTTTTTAAATTGAGAAGTTGAAACAGTTTCATCAACAGAAGGCCATTTGTTTGATTCTGATAAAATTACTGAAACTGTGCTTTGACTAATTTCAAAATCTTTAGCTAATTTATCTTGAGTTAAGCTAGGAACATTTTTAGCACACTTACATAGTTCTTTTTTTTTGCAAAGAACTTAAAGAACTTCTTTTTTTGGATGAAGGTTAATTATGATTTTTATTAATCAACGTTTTATTGTTTCGATTTTTTCAGTGATCGAATGTTTTTGATTGGTTCTCTCGTTATACTGACATGTCATTATAACGGGTGTCAGTATAAGGATAAATTCTATATTAAAATGAAAAATCATAATAAAAATAATAAAAAAAATTCCTTGTGATTCACGCCAAAAACGTTTTACTACATATCCTAACTTTCAAGAATTTGTCGATGCTAAAAAGTTATTTGTAAATGTGGTCAAATTATTTCACTTGAAGTTAATTATCAAGTGTTTGGGCAGTTATTACGTTTTATGAAAAATGTGGGCAAGGACATTCATGGGTAGAAAAGCCAGCAGGATTTTTAGATTATTTATCATATATTTCTATTAAGGCCATGCTGCAACAAAACCAGACAAAGTGAACATCGATATTACCAAGAATTTCAGGGATCAAAATTTAGTCATTTGTAATGTGATCATAATTAACAGTTTTATAATATGGGACATACTGCAACAAAACCAGACAAAGTGAACATTTATATTATCAAGAATTACAGGGATCATTTAACATCACTATTGTATTACCAATGTAATGTGATAATGATATTTGTCTAGACAAAAATAGTTAATATGAAGCTAATTTACATTAGGTCTACTATGGAACCAAAGAATTACAGCACCATTAGAAGTATTCTAAAAAAGGAACAAGGTGAAAAAATTGCACCTTACATTTTCAAAATAAATGATACTCAGATGCTGGAAGCTTATCTAAGAAAAGAAAAGATTACTTATGAAATTTACCATGAAGAAAGAAAAATAATAAATGTTGGAAAAAGAAAGCATCATGATGATGTATTATTACCTAATAAAAAGCAAAAATCTTAAAATAACTATTGTTTTCTTTGACAGTTAGAATGAATTTCAATTTATACAGAGGGAAATTTCCTCAATTACTTTTTATTTTCAATCAAGATCATCTTTTATGCACACTTCTGTTGTTAATGTCTACAATTTCTCATTTTATGGTTAAAAAAATACAAATGTTTTATTTTTAATCTTTGCTTTTTTTACAAAAATTTTGCTTATGATTTCACCACACTTTGTTTTTTTGCAGGAAGGGTCTCAAAATTAGCAACCGAATATGAAAGTACAACACCCATCTCAACACTGGCTTCATATGTAAGAAAGCATCCAGAATCAGATTATTGTTAAAAATTATTGATATTTTTGTTAAAAGGAAATTTTTTATTTTTATGAAAAAAAAAATTTATAATAATAAATTTGCGCTTGATTCAGTATATATGGAATTCGGATGAAAATATTTAGTTTTTTTCTATAAGAGTTTAGCATTTCAGATTCAGCAATTATCACGGTAAGCAACCATAGCTGTGTCAATCTATTGACAACCAAAATATTTCCTATTAAGAATATGGAAATTGAATTTATCTCTAGTAGAAAATTCAACTAAATTACTTTGTCATGACTGATTTATGAGCTATAATGATGGGTCAAACATATCAAATTATATTTTTGCTATTACCCGTTTGTATAGTCTTTGGATCTTCAAGCTAGATGATCAGATTGTTATGTCAACAAAATCTTATTGTCCACTTTGTCTGGTTTTGTTGCAGCATGCTCCATATTGCTGGTGAATATTATTTAAGCTTTCTTTATTTATACGTATTTTGGAGACTCAATCAAACATTTGATCCCTTTTGTATCTATTATAACAACTCAGTTTCAGGCTGATTAAAACTGATGGAGGAGAAAGATACATGTATAATAAATTAGTTGACGCAATTAATGCAGGAACAGAAAATGCGAAAAAGATGTAGTGCAAAAGTGATTCTGCAAAAACGATGATTTTGCTGGTTTTGATGTTGTTGGAAGTTATACGTGCTCTTTCACAAAAGGAACATAACCTTTAAACAGTACCAAGACCATGTCGGAAATTGATCCAGCTCATAAAATACAACCCACCAAGAGCTTGGTCAATATTTGAATATTCCAAATCTCAGTTGAAGAATCGACATAATTAACAGCTCCATACAAAAAGAACTCGGTGCTACAAGAAGTCATCATGTAAAAGAACATGCATGTTAGGAAAGAAGATCAAATAAACAATATTCATCAACTTCACACTCACAACTTCAATCATCATCACAACTTCCATCACAACCATCGTCATCAACTGTCTCACAACTTGATGAACTTTGGCCTGTTGTGAAATCCAAATTAGCCAATCAGAATTTCATATCCAAACACCCCACCCCAAAATTTTTAATTATAAATTTCAATTTCACATAGTTTCAATTTCACATACAACAGGCCCCAATGTAATTTCTTGCCCTCCTCGATCCTCACAAACTTGTGTATGGATGGTATTTCTAACAGACTAGGTACACGCGGTTCCGTAGAATTATCAACGGCAGGTCACTAGTGTCAAAGTACATTGTGTTGTTGAGTGTGTCAACCCATCATGTATTTTCATTCAAGTGTGGCTATACCATGATGAAACCTCGGGATCCTCGTTCAGTAACTGCCATTGTTGTTGCTGGTGCGTCAAGATTGCTCCAAATTTTTCATTCCACTTCTCGAGAACCTACCTATACACCCACACAAATCATCAACATATACTTGGACAACACTTCTTCAACACACTCTCAATATCGAAAATATCCAATGGGAGTCTCTCCTGGTCGGGAGATTTAACGAAATGGTTGGTCATTCATTATATATATGATTTTCCATTTGTTAAATGTTTGCATATTAATATATATATTTATTTTATTTTTTATTTTAATTAATGAAAAATTAAAAAATTTTACTTACTATATTTATTAACTAATAAAATCACAAATAAAATAATAATAATAATAGTAACAATATTAATAATAACAATAATAAAATGTTTACTTCACTACTTTTTCCAATTTTCTAAAATTTCTAATTAATTAATATAAAAAATATTTAAGATATTACACAAGAATCACTCGACACATGTAATGGATACGATGTCTCATCGCTTCCTACGCCCGTAGTTTTTGTTACCGTTGTTGATTTAGGTTTACCACCATCATAATAATAATGAAAGTCTGATATCTTGTCTATATACATATACATATATATTTATATGATTAGTGTAATGTGAATGTGAATGTTTTTATGCAATGTGCGTGGGATAATGTATGTGGACGAGTAGTGAATGAATGTGAGAGTGTGAGTGTGAGTGCGTGTGCGTGATTTATTATTATATTATATGTTATGTTATGATACATCGTATATATGATTGGTTGATGATTTACAAACAGAATGTACAAAAGATTAAAATAATAAATCCCAAATCCCAATTAGCGTTGTAAATATATTATAAATAAATAAACAAAATTAAATTACAAAATTTTATATGAAATAAGAGAAAACAATGATGAATATTAAATAAATATGATCGAGGGAAAGAAATGAGGTCATATATGCAATAAAATTAAAAAATATTTACAAGGAAATGGAAATGATTTTTATAATTTAAAAATTAAATAAATTAAATAATAAGTTATTATTTTTATTACCATAAATTTCGAGGCTAACTCTTGGTGAGGTGACTACAATTGGTATCGGTCGACTTGAATAATAAGCTTGTTGATGAACTTTTTGTAATTCTAAATAAATAATATAATGTTATTTATCAATTTATTTATTT